TCCATTGCAATTCCGTTTCCAGGAATCCGATCGGATCCAGCATCGGATTTGTTGACCTGGGTCTACGATGATAGAGCATTGCAAGCTGTACATTTTCCATGGTTCGAAAATCTTAAAATCCATATGGAACTCGTAGAATTTTGGTTTTCAAAGTCTATGGTAAAAGGCTGGGATTATTCATTTACCCCCCATAAGGGTAAGCGGATTCCTCGATTTGGACGCAGTAGGGTAATCCAGAAATCGAAAACTGGTCTTTAGAAGATCAGGTGATGATAGCTCTGTAGGCAACCTTTCGAGTAGCGCTTTTCACCAATCGATAGAGCATGTGATGAGGCAGATAACTTATGCAGAAAGCTTTTCAAAATAGCTAAGAGCGAAAAAAATACAGCCGTTCTACCGAGTCTCAATAATTATTTATGCAAACATCCCTACTTACTCTAATAAAAATGGCCGATACTGATTTTCAGTCAACGACATTGATTATTTATAAATCATGAGCATAGGAGAAAACTGACTGCTGCATTCCGAATGTATTATAATGAGATATCAAGAAAAATAGAAAGAGCGGGGGTAGGGACAGATAAACGCTGCAAAATGGGTCACAGCGAGTCTGTCAGACATTCATTGATAATTGATTTTTGGGAAGCGTAATAAGCTTTGTAGAAGCAAATTGTAGAAGAATTACGTAGATTGAGCATGTATTTTAGATGAAAATATTGTAGAGATATTTTGCAAAAGATTGTGACCCATTATATAGGATTTTACGACCTATACTTACATTTATCATAATGCTATTAGAGTATTACTCAAGAATATCTATTTTCAATTGACAAGGTATTCAGTTCTGTATAACTTTATATGGGGCTTATCGATTATTTATGATGATCTTTTCTTTTCATTCAGCATTATGACAGACTCTTATATTTGAGTGATTTGGATACCTTTTTCGGCTAGCACATTCCTCTAATATACCATCCAATAGAGCGAAGCATGGGCTACCGCTTGGTATATAAACTATTTCATTCCCAGCTTAGCCCGTACAGCTTATGCTGGCCATAATCATTTCAACTGGTGAAAACTGTGTTTTTCATCCAATATCACGGGGTTTTTGATACACGTGAGCGTTGGCTCGGCCACAAAGAAAGCCATATTCAGACTCAGCACAAAAAAAGAATTGATCTATGTGGTTTACAAAGTCATCGGACCACTTTCATTTTTCTTCGACAGTTTTGCCCTAATACTCCTCAGGGATGTGTTAGGAAATGGAATCCGTGAAAATGTTGCTTGGGTTCAAGAAAATATATCCCTAGTTCCCTCGACTGAAAGGAGGGTCATACGAAAAAAATAGTTTGTATGTTTGTCTGTTCGTCTGTTTGTGTCAGGGACGTGACAGAAATGAAGAAAACATGTCATCCGTGCCTGAGAGGAGGGCTACATAGAAGAGATGATGACGAAAAAGTAAAAACACACTCGGTTGACTGTCGTATACCAAAGGCCAGTAATCCAAAAATACATTCATTCACAAGTTACATGCTGGAGAGCAATCTTAAATGCTGACCTTCGATATATTGAAATTTTTTGTAGGCCTGACCTTTGAGCCTTTTAATTAAGGAGATAGACTCAAATGTTCGGACGCGGATAATTTTATCTGTGAGATGCTGATGGAATGCTAATTAATTTTCGATACTTTTTAGCAGCACACGGGTAATTATATGATAGATAGGGACAGCTTTGGAGCAGCGTGTTGTGAGTGGCGCCCCTGTGGGGCGCTGACGAACAACGAGCTGCGCCTGGTAATCTAGCCAGTTACCAAAGTATCATCAATCCGACACATTCGAATGCGAAATATATACAGAGTCTCATTTGGTCTTACTGAAATTATCTTTCTTTTAGAAAAAGAAGGACATATTTAAAGGTGCAAATCCATAATAGTCATTTATAGCGAACTTCTGCTTCCTGTGAAGAGTATCTGTCAGTCAGGAGTATAGAATAATTAAAAGCAACACAAGTAGTCCTTTGACTCTTTTGAAGACTGTGAGACGAATGCAGATCAGTCTCTGAGGACCCTTTCAAAGGTTATACTTCTGTCTTTTTTTTGCATAAAACGCACATAAGACTATTTTATTTCCAGTTAGTGGTTCAGTCGAGGGCATAGCGAGTCTGCCTCGACAAGCGTTACTAGTGTTTAGAGTGCAATAAAAACTTGAAAATATGGTTAGTTAACGGATAAAATCGCCGTTTAAGCCCGTTTAATTTTCCGACTCATCCGTGAGGGATATCAGGACAAAAATGTGGGTGCAAAATGAAATTGGTCCGATGACTTTGAAAACCACATAGATCAACTCATTTTTTTGTGCTGAGTCTGAATATGACGTTCCTTCTGATCCAGCCTACGCTTACGTGTATCAAAAATACGGCTATTGTCAGTTGAAATAGCATGAATGACACAAATGATATGATGTCGTTCAGCAAAAAATTAATCGAGCAAATATAATTGAAATGAAAACTCTATTTGGTCGACCAGTTTATTTTGGCGAAAATCTCCAGATTAAGCCCCCGATAGCGTCCTAATTTTTCGCAATTTCCCACTATTCAAAAATCTTCCCCGAACGTCAAAGATAAGATGAATTCTTTTGGTTGCTATTTGACTCCAACATAGAGCTACCAAATATATTCACCGGGTAAATAGCTCATTTCTCAGAAAAGAGATGCCAAAATAAAAATTGTAAGTGGGTTTGCTCAGACCCTACCCTATTACTAACGCAAGTTTAAACTGTCGTATGAGAAAAGATGTATACAGGTCTGATACCCTTTACTGGCAGATCTTTATGGGATGAATTCTAGTACATACAATTTCTTTTGGCATCAAATTCTGAGGGCGCCGATCTAAATGTTACTTACAATCAGATTCAGCCGTAGTTGCAATATCCCCACTGAAACCTTCTTCTGCATCCTCACTTACATCCTTGTTTTCAAGATAATAGTAACCACACAAGCTCAGACTAGAATGCAGTTGTTGGCAAGGTGTACATGTCGGTCAAGTGGTTGCGATTCATACAGACAGATCAGTCTTAACAAATACTGGTTAAATATGAATAATTATTTCTTAGTGAACGAATTTCTTACTTGTAATTTCCAGCAATGCAATAAAGGAAAATAACTTTTCGTCCTTTTATCGTTCGCATTCTTACATTTCGCATTTATTGGATTTTCGCGCTGGTTTGTTTTGCTAAAGTGGCTTTCAAGTTTTTTTCCACTCAAACTCGTTTTCGCAAGTACAATTTTTTCTGAAACAATTTCATACGACTAGAACTGTGCGGGCCAACCTGAGAATGAAATAATTTATATACCAAGTTGTAGACCTTGCTTTGCTCAATCGAATGGTATATTAGAGAAATCTGCTGCCCGAAAAAAAAGCATCCAAATGGTGCTATCGACGATAAACTGATATAGTACTTAATGCAAGAATCAGGCCACGATGACCAGGAAACTAGCCAAAAACCGAATGAGTCACATAGAATGAGATACAAAACTTATGCTCTTTCTATCACAAATAAGTATTCTCAAATTTTCAACTGTCATGGATAAGAAAAGCAGATACGACTAATAAAAGCTGTATCTTATGAATCACAATATCTTCGCCTGAAAGTGGGATTCGATACACATGATTCTCACTCAGTTTGCTTCTACAAAGCTCATTTCACCTTTCTGAAACACATTATCAATTAATTATCAGGAAATTCTTCGCCGCGCATTTTGCACTGCTCATTCGCCCCTGGGCTTGTCCAAACGTAACGTTGTGACATTTTGACAAAGTATTTTTCGCTTTTTTCGAAGACTATAAGAGT